CCCATATTTTATACTCGTACTAGCAAAGCACCAGACACGTTTTGGTCGCCTTGAAGCTAGACTGAATGCAATATGTCGGCAATATCACGGATGAGCAATGCACATTAGAAATTGTCAGCATCGATTCCTCCAGAACAGGACAAATTGGAGTACATGAGGTAAATAAATGAAAAAAACAAAAACAAAATAGTACAAGTCACTCAGTTGATTGACTAGTTCAGAGCTGATCCATTTTAGAATTCATGAAGTGGTTATCATAATGAATGGCTGTTTTGGGGGTCCTGTCATTCCAAACAGCCATACGTGGTGAACTCAAGATAGCAAGTATCACTCCCAACTCACAGTGAGTAATTGGAGCGATGCTGTGCCCCGTCATGGCACCATTATGCAAATGATCTCCTTAAGAGTTTCATGCAAATGCACAATTAGAATCGAAAACACATTCATGCTTATGTGCATATTCAACCTGCTGCCTGCTAATTATCTTTTTTTTTTTGGTTTCGAATGCAAATCAACAAGTGCGTGGTTGAAATCTGTGCCCGACTGCTGGTCAAATAAGGCTGACATTATGAACGCTTCAAGACAATCTATTCCAACACTCCCACCCTATCTGTCAACACCAGATACCTGGCGCAACAGCTGTGTGATTGTGGCCAAAGTATTGCCTGGAGCCTGATGTTTTTTGGGTTTTTTTCCTCCCGCCCTAATTACAGATAAACGTACGGCCAGGGCGAGCGCCGTGAGAGTTTTATTTTAGTCTGCCCAGACCCAAAATGATAATGATGTGGATAGGATCATATGAACATTTTCCAAGGCAACGCATTTTCACATTGCTGATTTGAAGGCGATTTGAGCCGACTCCAAGGACGGTCTAAAGTAAAAACCAACAGAGCAAAGAAGCCCAAAAAAAAAAAAAAAAAACGTGATTATTATTATTATGATGATTATTATTCAAATTGAACCTGCAAAATTCAGCTAAGCTATGAGAAAGAAAGCAATAAAAGGCCAAATACAGAAATACAGCTCCTGCGATAAGAACTATTTTCAGTCTTTTCAATACTCTGCTGATGATATTCTTATACTTGAAGTCAATATTCTAACCAGTTAATATCACAGGTGAAAAGTTGCTCGTCTTTGCTAGCTCTTGACGATATCATGTTTTCAATCGAAACACATTCTATGTTGCTCATATACCAAATTGGGCCCCGTTTTGTCATTCCACTTGAATTGTGTACACGGCCCACTTTTGTGGCCAGCAGTTTTGACACTGAGGGCTATGTGTTGGTGTTATTGAGGGTCGCGGGGGGACGTGAACATTCAACCAACAATAACAACAATGGCTAGTTTGGCATTGTCACCAAGTGTCCTTTCTGTATTCCCCGGAAAAAGATGTCCTATTTTTCTTGTCTCCTTGAATGCAGCTTCAGATTTTAGTATTTCCTCAACCGATACACCACAGCTCTCAAATTAGCCACCTTTCATTGCCCTCCATAAGTGACGTCTTCAAACTCGTTTGGGCGTCCAGCTCAGGGTGGGATTTGTGGTCTGCTAACAATGCAGTTAGGGTTCATTAACGTGTCACGCTAACCTTGACCAACTCTCCTCTCCAGAAAAAAAAAATAAAAATCAGAATCCATTTCCTATAGTCAGAAATGAAGTTCCAATACTGTCAAGATGACAGGGAAAGATGCCTGTGGGAGAAAGCGGCGATGAGCTAAGAATAGCAAGTGACACCTTCCACCTGAGGGAAATAACCAAACTTCTCCCTTTTGATAACGGAAAAGAACGTCCTATTCTCTCATCACGTCCACATCGAGTCTGCGCCGCTTTGCCGCCTCAGAGACGAGATTTGTCCAAGGTCTGAGTCATTTGGGCCTTTTACAGCCACCGCAACAATCACGAGCCTCTCCGTGATCCACCCCGTCGATAATTAACCTTCCTCATCAAAGGCACAATATATCCCGATTGAACGCGCACGAAAGGGGTAGCAGATGGGAAAAGGATATTTTTAAATAATTCTAGTCACATTTGACATCATTTAATGCTCTGTGTATGGAGTCAGAACACTGTCAATAGGTTTTGGCATTGCTAATAAATAAACAAGTTCTGGCACGGAAAAGGTTCCTGAAACAGCATTTTTTTCCCGTTTCAACTCCCTGCTTATCGTATTTAATTGCCTCGTTTTGACTCTCAACATAACGACGTTGTTTTGGCCTTTCAGGGGAAGCTGGCGACAGGCCGGTGTGACATGAAATAACTGTCTGATAGCAGCTTTAAATGCAACAGGGCGTGAGAAATGAGTCGCGGGTGTTAAACTTCATACCCTTGTTACGGCTTATGACTCCGGGCCGGCCTGGCTTTACCAAGGCCACACCGTAACCCGATAAAACATTATTTTGCAGATACTTAGCGTATATTTCCGTCGCCGTGCTAATTTGTCCATCGTGCCCCGTTTGTTAGCTCAAAAGCACCTGTCGTAAACTGAGGATGCCCCCCGTATTGTATCTGCTGTTCCGTTCCGTTCGGCAACTTGCACGTGAAAGGGGATTCTGATGATCCTGACGACACATCATGAGTAGATTGTAGCTGTTACAGCTCTGGTCATTCCGATTATTCCCATTTCTTGGCAGAGCCAGCGACAGCTTTCCACACAACTCGAATGGAACCCAGCGAATCGTTGGTCTACTTCAGTTCCTCATCCTGCGTCAGAAATTCCTTCATCGGATATGATATCTTGGCAATATATCAACCCTTCGTATGTTTCTGGTCTTTTCCGACAAGGTCGGTGATGCAGTGGCTCAACAGGGTCCAGTCCTTCCTCTACTGCAACGAGAACGGCTTTTGGGGAACCTTCCTGGAAAGCCAGCGAACGTGCGTGTGCCACACGGGCGTCACCCTGTGCCAGCGACCGATCCCTTGCGTCATCGGCGGCAACAACAGCTGCGCCATGTGCAGCTTGGCCAACATCTCGCAGTGCGGCTCGTGCAACAAGGGCTACAAGTTGTACCGCGGCCGCTGCGAGCCTCAAAATGTGGACTCGGAGCGCAGCGAGCAATTCATTAGCTTCGAGACGGACCTGGACTTTCAGGACTTGGAACTGAAGTACCTGCTGCAGAAAATGGACTCGCGACTGTACATCCACACGACGTTCATCAGCAACGAGATCCGCCTGGAGACTTTCTTTGACCCGCGGTGGCGCAAGCGCATGTCCCTGACGCTGAAAAGCAACAAAAACCGCATGGACTACCTCCACATGATCATCGGCCTGTCTATGAAGATCTGTCAGATGCGGAACAGCAGCATCGACCCCATGTTCTTCGTCTACGTCAACCCGTTCAGCGGCAGCCACTCGGAAGGCTGGAGCATGCCCTTTGGCGAGCACGGGTACCCCCGCTGGGAAAAGGTGCGCCTGCAGAACACCCAGTGCTTCAACTGGACCCTGTTGCTGGGCAACCGCTGGAAGACCTTCTTCGAGACCGTGCACATCTACCTGAGGAGCCGAGCCAAGATCCCCACCGGCCTGCGCAACGACACGGGCCCCGTCGACCTGGCCGACCCCAACAAGCGGCAGATCTACATCAAAATCTCCGACATCCAGGTGTTCGGCTACAGCCTGCGCTTCAACGCCGATCTGCTCCGCAGCGCCGTGCAGCAGGTCAACCAGTCCTACACGCAAGGAAACCAGTTCTACTCCTCGTCATCCGTCATGCTCCTCTTGCTGGACATCCGGGATCGGATTAACCGCCTCGCCCCTCCGTCTGCGCCCGGCAAACCCCAGCTGGACCTCTTTTCCTGTATGCTGAAGCATCGGCTCAAGCTCAACAACAGCGAGATGATCCGGGTCAATCATGCCTTGGACATGTACAGCACAGAGATACTCAAACAATCCGATCATCTGACTGCAAAACTGTGTTGATCGCTTCCGAACGCCAATTTAAGGACGGGAGAATGACACGGAAGCGCACTCGCAAATGAACCCAACCTCTGGCGGGGGGGGGGGCTCTTATTGACTCTCATTGACTTCTTTTGCCTTTTTCCTTTTTTGGGGGGGGACCTTTTCTGCCTTTTTGATGTGACGCAAACTTTGTAAAAGCATACTTCGTAAAAAAAAACGGGGGAGGGGGAACGGAAAAGGCATCCATGAAAGGAAGACCTGAATCGGAACTAACGTTAAAAGGACTGTAACGTACCTGTCCAAGCATGTCTGTCATTTCCCCAAAGAACTTTAATGTCAGCGAGAGAGAGATTAAAAAAAAAAATACTTGTGATAAAGAGGCCTTGACTGGAAGGTTGTATCTGTAACTGCCATTCTTCTTTACCTGGGAAATTGAAAAGAAGAAAAAACATTTTTCACAAAAAACAAACAAACAAAAAAAAAACAGGCAGACCAGATTTCCTTTTATTTGCTCTAACGTGCAAAATAAAAATGTTTGTATACACCCGGAGAATTGAGAAACAGCTCGAGAGCGTGTAATGTAGTCAACACATTTATTATTATAGAGTCTTTATTACTTTTCCAAGCCTCGGCGAGTCGGTGAGTTATGAAGCACTCGGTCACTGTTCTGACATGTAAGGCACACGCAGCAGGCCGGGAATTGATCGTCACGTCAAAGAACAAAAAGCCAGCTGTTTATAAATATACAGACATAGACCGTGTATGTGTGCGTGCGTGCGCGCGCGTGTGTGTGTGGATGTCAGCGCATACCTTTTTACTTTTTTTTGGCTTGCTAATTGAATGTGTCCAATTTTTCAATTCAGAGTATTTCTTGCGTGTTTCCAATTTTTATTTATTTATATTTGGGGGGAGGGGGGGGGCTCTCGTGGTTTCACAAGGCAGTGGCTTTCCTGGCTGCGCGAGTGCATCATTGTCGTGGATTTAACCGTCGATGCTAATTTTGTACTGCTTTGCGTAAAATGGACAACCAAACGGACAAAAAAAATATATATCTATATATATGGTAAAAATGTTGTGATTGCTGGTTTGTGGAGCTTTTTCTTGGGCACCAAAATCTTAGCGAGCGTTCACCGAACAGGCATATTGACAACACAAAGCCATAGATGCCCCGCCACCCGCCACCACCAACCTCTGCCCCAGGATCAAGTAATGTTCAATCCCGTTTCATTTTACACGCACTAAAAGACGTTTTGCTTCTCTCTCGGTTGATATGAGACAAAAAGCACAGTGAACGATATGTTGGCACTCTCACTGGATTTCGATGTTGTGCTGGGGGAAAAAATACTCAAATGTAAAATCTTAAAGTACATTTTTAATCCGGAATCCTTTCACCAGCACCAGAGTTTTTGTTTCTCGATGAAAACCCTTCCCGACATGGTGTGGGTTTTTTTTTTTGTTTGTTTTTTCTTATTTATCCCGGATGGCTGTATGTATATAATCCCACTTGTTGAACATGGAAATGATATCAGCGCTTCTCTCATGTGTTTTGCTGGTGAAACCTGTTGACATGGTGTCTTTATTATTCTATTGGCACAAAAAAAAAAAGGAAAAACTGTGTAAGACCCCAGTTGCAGACCAATTTTTTTTCAGATGTTACTTTTATTTTGGTTAACTTGCTATATATTGCTGCTTTACTGCTAAGTGTGACATTAAGTCTTGTGGACGTTGCAGAGGCACATCTTCCAAATCTGGATTTGGAGATTTTAATCACTCCTTTTTTTTTTTTTGGTCTGATTCGCTATTCACAATATTTAAAGTGGACATAACTTGGAAAACTGACATTGAATTCTTTGTATACGCACAGTTGGGTCTCTGGTGTGCCTATCGGGCTGTTAGGTGTGAAATTATACCGCCACGTCAATCTTGTGTGAGCTAACTATTTCTAAAATGTCTCTGTGAGCGAGCCTTTTAGATTTTTAGCTGAATTTTCATCATTCAAATTCCACGCCGATTTTCAACGCCCATGACTGGGTAGGAAGAGCCACCATTTTACGAATGACGGAGGGACTGAACGGAAATATTGTCATGTCAAAACTGAAAGCTCAGCAGAGGTGGAGTGTTAGCGCACATTTGTGTTAGCTACACGTTAGCGCGCGAGACAAAAGTCATTTAAGATTTTGTCAGAAAGGCTGGAAAAAAAAAAACACTGGACAAAAATATTGAAAAATATTCATCCCTGTCACCGACCTAAAGAGACCTTGGAACTGTTTTTAACGGTGAAAAAAACTGAGTAATACGTCACCGTTAGCGTCACCTTCTCAGCATTGCTTTCCTTTTTCGCCCTCAGTGTGAATTGCTGGATAGCTAAGTTCCATTTGCGCGTGACTCATTTAGCATTTCAAGCGGTAGGAATGTCACTGTTAAAATTAAAAGTACAAAGCCGTTCCGAAAAAGGGTACCCCCCCCCTTCCCTGCCCCCACAGCAAATCTTACACTTTAAGTGTCACGTCGTATTTGTTCATTCCGCTCAGCGACGAGTTCTCAGCTTAATAGCATGCTAATATGGACATGGTAGAACGTGGCATAACATCGCAAGTGCATCATTTTTGCATGCTAACAATTAGCATCTTTTTTAGTGTATTTTAGTTGAAGTTGAATTTTCCGAACCCGAAAGCAGTTGCCTCCCCATCTTCTAATTTACTGCAATGGTCGACGCGTTTATTTTCATTGGGCTTTCATGCTTACTGACTGATTGTTTGTTTTTCTTTCTTTTTTTTTTTTTTTAAGCTCGCGGATGCTTTCGTATCGCGGGTGAATTACTGCTGAAAAATGTGCAGGAATGCCTCCAATGAGTGGACGTCAGAGCAGAAATCGATGCCAGTCTCGGCCTGTAAAAGATCCACTAAAAAGTCCCCGATGTATTAGCACTTGATTGGACAATTCCTGAGAAACGCTACCATATAATTCTTTTATTTTAATGTCGTCATTATAATTATATAAGTGCCTGTTATTTATCCCTTTAACATGTTTAGAGCTGGTCACAAAAGTCTCAGTCAATGACAATCTCCTCTCAAGGAGGTTTTGCTGTTGTGCCCCAGTGTGGGACAAATAAAGGATTATCTTATCTTATCTTATCTTATCTTAAAAAAAAAAAAAAGAGCAAATATGACTATTTTTTTTTCTCCAATTCTACACGATACATTTGAAAGTACTATCCCTGTTGCAGTAAAGTAATTAAGCCGGTGTATTAGTTCAACTTATTGGGTGGTTCTCATCAGGTTTGTCACACTATGAGACTGTTTTTACGTTATCGGGATTGTTGGTTTACTTTTTTTTTTCGAGCCCCTGCAAGGTCCAAACAACAAAGACATGTTTTGGGTGTTGATTTATTTTGATATATATGTCACAAACTGACAGTGTGAAACCATTCTTACAATGGTGCAATTACGATCACTTACACTAACCTTGTTGCCAAAAAAAAAAAAAAAAAAAGCAATTTTTCCACATTCATGGGGGCGAGGTTAGTCGTCAAACTTTAAATCGAATGTTGAAGCCATTCTTAAAATGGTGCAATTACTATCACTTACACTAACCTTGTTGCAAAAAAAAAGCAGCTATTTTTCCACATTCCCGTGGGCGAGGTTAGTCGTCAAACTTTAAATCGAATGTTAAAAAAAATATATCAACGGGAACGCCACGATCACCAAATAAATTCAAAGTGATCAATTGTCATTTTCAGTTTTGTGCCCAGGCAAGAAGTTTGCGAATGTTCCGCTACTTGCGATGTATACAGTCGAGCTGATTTAACGGCAGTCATTTACACGTCCCGCATCATGCTATGTAGTGTTGCTTACATGTACCCATTAAATGTGTCCGAAGAAGAATTTCACACCTAAGACCTTGCCAGTGTAATGTTTTTTTTTTTCCTATCTTGTTGAGGTCATGATATCAGCTTCTTTCAATGAATGTTTCATATTATATTCTATTTCTCATTAAAAGGCTATATTTAATAGTATTTGGCACGCTTGTTTTATTGTTTATCTTCGTTCTTTGGAGAGATTTGGGATTTATTATTTTTCAATTATTAAAAAAAATAATAAATATTACAAGACTGAGTTGGCCGTTGGCATGAAGGTGAACTTGAGTGCTTGTTTCCTGGTGCAGTTGTTAGGGCGCATTTAAAAATGTCTTGCTCTGACGCTTTGTTTTGCAGTACTTTGGACTAAATTTGACAAAAGTGTTTCCACTTGAGTTTATCCTGAAATGTGTGTTGGTTGTAAAGGCGAAGCACTTTCCAGGAAACACCAAGTAATATGACTTGTAAGTCACGTGGACTGTATTGAGTCTTGTAATGTTACCTGCGGAGTCCCGCAGGGATCGGTACTCGGCCTTCACTGTTGTGTCACTAGCTGCTGCCACTTGGAGATATCACATTTAAATATGACATTGGCTTTCAGCGTCAAGCCTACGTTACTCATCTACACATATCGTTACAACCTACAAAATTGTTTGTACAAAAATTTTATCGCATGTTTAAGAGAGTGGGCTCGGTGGCCAGGAGCGAAGTAAGGCTTTCGCATCCTGAACACCTGAGGCGGCACGTCATATCATCAAATGGATGCTGGTTAAACTAACACTGAATGGTTTTGTTTTCTCATGCAGTGAGTGTAATCTGACCATCCAATGCAGCTCGGTCACCCTGGAAATCTCTCCGTATGCCTTCTCTTCTCCAGGTGTCTTCTTTTGTCAAACCTTTTTGGGGGCAGAATTCTTCCCTGGCTTGGATGGGGAGTTTCGACCAGGGGATGCCACTGAGAAGTGTGGATTTGTGAAGCTATTTGAAACTCTTTTGTGTTTCAGGGTTATAAATATAAACTTGACTTCAGTCGAGGAACTAATCGGATAGTTAAGATGGAGAAAGGCTTTTTTGTAAGAGGCTGCTGCTTCAATTTCTTTATGGCATCCTTTTCATGGGGACGCGCGTCCGTTCAGCCTGGAGCTGGAAGGACGGGGAAGTGAGAAAAGGGGCCTCTAAAGGCAACCCATTGTCCTCAAGCATTTGAGCACTCCACTTGAGGAAGAAAAATAGCACCTGCTTTTCATGCCAGCCATCAGTCCAGCCCGTGTCTCAAAAGGGGCCCCTTTACAGCACCCACCCACCCACCGAAAAGGCTTTTAAAGCGAAATAAAGTTTTCCATTTAAGTTGAGTGGATTGGCCAACATGGGGAAGCCGTGTTATTTGTTACAATCTCTTTAAAATGGTTACGATTGGAGTCGAACCCTTTTGTTGCATTAGCTTTTTTTTTTTCTTCCTCCCATGCGTCAACAGGCAATGAACAACACGCACGAGGTTTCCCGCTGTGCCTTTTAACCCTAACTGAGCTAATTGACTCGCTATTGTTATCCGAGCAACTCAAGTGAGCCTTAATCAATCTCTCCTTTTTCTTCTCCCATTGATGCAGTCGGCTGTATCACGGTTTATTCAGTTGCCGACTGGGTGCTTCGTCCCCTCAAGATAATAAAGAAATAGGTCTCTCAAATAGACACCAGCCTTTTTCAGGAAAAAAAAAAAAACGTAGTTGGTTCGAACTCCTGTTTTCATGCCATCCCTTGAACAGACGCTCTGCCCCAATCAGTCATCGACTGCACTTATGATCCCCCCCAACTCCCTCAAATAGATGTCTCCCCTTTTGTCACATCTGGAAAAAAACAACTGCCATTTTTTTTTTTCTGAAATGTTCTCATGTACGGTCTACTTTACTCCTCTCCAACAGCAATTATCTTGAAACTTGAGGAATTAAGTTTGGAAAGTTGTTTCCACATTTCCTTTAGGAGATGTCTTCTTTTTTTTTTAATTGGCCGTGTCGTTCCAATCGCCGGAGGTGTCGAGACAGCGGATGTCTTTCGTTTTCAGCGCAAGTCAACTGAGGTTGTGCGGGCATCTGTGCACACAGAGTGGAATGGTGTCAGGACTTTTAATGTTATTGGATTCGCCATTGTATGTTTTTGTTTTATGGGCTGAGCCTCGCGAGCTGTATGGCCGGATCGCATTTCACGAGGGGGGGAAAAAAGAAAAAAAAAAAAACGAGGGCTGACCATAGCAGACGTTAAGATGGATCGTAATGGAAGCTTTCAATTTTATTAGCTGGGAACTTTGGAAAAGCTGTCAGCGCTTACCCCCCGTCATAAAAAGCTTCTGCCAGGATTGTCCAAAACAACAAAATTCTTGTGATCTATGATGAGGGGAAGTCTTCATTTGTCATGCATTTTGGGAATAATAACATTGTTTTTGTCATGTGACAGTAAAGCAGAGCTCAACAAATAAACAAGACAATAATGAGAAATGCTGGAGAAAAAATAGAATGACACAAGGCGGACTGAGAGTTTGCTCCCCAGAACATAAACGTGGATCTGCACATGGTGGAGCAACCACATGCCAGTCGACACCAATGATGCCAGGTCCTCATTATGTAAGATCATCTTTCAATCTTTCCTACTGTAAACGTATCCGAGAGATTCTTAACAGGCTTCGATGTTGCTGCTTTCATTAGAAAGGAAGTTCAGATGCGGTCGGAAGTTCGCGTCTTCATGCCTGTGTGTCAACAGTCCAGTTGAGGGACATTTGTGCCATCAGCCTCTCAGTCCAGATGCATCACAACTACTTCCAATATAGAGACTAATTCCAATATAGAAAAGGCTTTGGAGCGTTATGGAAAGAGCACAAAAGCTCTAATTAGCCGAGCTTTTTTCTTTTTAAAAAATAACAGAGGATGGGTTCAAAAAATGCAAATAGCTGAATTTGTGGCAGGTTAGAGTGTTCTTGAGACTAATTCTGATAGAGAAAAGGCTTTGGAGCGTTATGGAAAGAGCAAAAAAGCTGTAAATAGCCGAGCTTTTTTGTTTTGGAGAAAATAACAGAGGATGGGTTCAAAAAATGCAAATAGCTGAATTTGTGGCAGGTTAGAGTGTTCAGGATGGACAGTCTGGGCCTTTTACGTTCTGAGGCAGGGGTGAAAAGATCAAGCCATGCGATGGGCGCTTCCTTTTCACGTGTGCCACCACTCTGGAAAAATTCTTTTTTTTTTTTTTTGCCCTCCTTAAAATTGACATAATATCAAAAAAAGGAACCCCTCCATGTCCTTTCCCTGCGCTCTCTTCCAAAGGACAGCAGCAGGGCGGAATAGGATTACGCGGAGGCATTCATCCCTTTACGAGGATGTGGAAGGGAATGAAGCCAAGAGGAGGGGCGGCCTGAGACCAGAAAGTCGTTATTTCATATTGGAAAGGGTCACTGTGCTACTTTTACTAATAAGGACTTGTGTCTGTTTCAGGGACAAGCTCCTCCTTGGGGGTTGGGGCGAGCTCTCAAGGCGCTAAATGCCCAATTAACCTCATGCGGCCCACGCACATTTTTTTTTTCTTTTTTGCAAGTTTCAGTGATTCCCGAATGGCCAAAGGTAATTTTGGAATTTAACGGGACGGCACGCTCGCCCCGTTGTCAAACGGCGCTCGAGTCAGCCGACGCTAATCGATGAGCTCGGCCTTATTTAAAATGCGACACAAACGCTGCTCTGGCCTGTGAGTGTGGAGATAACCATCGAGGATTATTTGAGTTGGGGCACAATATCGGATCCTTATCTCGAATGAACTTACAACCCTGGCTACTTTTAAACACTAACTCTCGCTTGAAACCCGAAACCAGGTCTGAACCTGGAATTGAAACTACATTGATATTTTAAAATTGAAATGTGTCTGTCACCTTAACCCCGGTTTAAAACCCTCAAGCAAGCTTGAAATCCTGATTTTCAACCCGAGTCCTTGTTTAAAACACTTCATACTGTCTTGGGAACCTGACCCAGATTCGAAACCTGAATTTGGAGTCTTAGTTTTTTTAACCTTTTGTTGAAATCCTAACCAAGGCTTGAAACCCTAACTATTGTGCTACTAAAGCCATTATGAAGCCTGAAACCTTCATTTGAAGCCCAAACCATTTGAAATGTTTACCGTTGCTTGGCTTGAAACCCTATTCTGAAACAGTAACAGCCACTTAAGACCTTAACCCATATTGAAACCCGACTCTGAGACCCT